TCTCTTTCTTTTCTAGCAAATACTATAAAAAAATACGAAATGTAATAATAATATTGTCTCTCTGTACAATTAAATTTAACGCTTTAAATGTTATTTAAATGTCATCATGTTAAGCAAAAATGTTTTTTATTGTTTTATGTTAAATGGCCCAAGTAACAGAGCTTTTTTTTTTAAAGAAAAAAGTAAGTAAAGTGAGTTTGGTTGCTGTAGATTGGCGTAAAAAAAGGTTAACTAAAAAGATACCCGCAGGAATATATTCTTCGAAAGTAATATTTTTTTGTAAGGGGGAACTGTGTAAATAAGTAAATGTGTTTAATAAGATGACGTCATAGTTTTTGGCGCATGAGTAAGAAAGTTTTTGTGATAAATTTGTGGAAGAAGGGTATGGAGAGAATTCGTAGTGGAATTGGAAAACCAGCTGTTTAGCAAATATTCCAATACACTGAATGAAATAGGGAATAAAAACATATTTGTAGCTCCTTAAAGTAGGCTTTGAAAAAAGTTTGTTAAATTAACAACTTGAGGGTAATGTTTTAATAATTTAAACATATTTAAGAGTTTCAATAACTCTAATAAAATGTCAATATATATACATATTTAGCGAACATTTTTTTAATGCCTTAAAGTATGCTTTAGTAATAATTAAAGAAAATGCTAAAAACTATGCTACAGTTTATTATGTTAAAAAAAAAAAATTTAAAAAAACTTAAATAATATTTTAATGAATCTTCGTGATTTTAATGTCATTTTAAAGGTTTTTATTTTTTCGAACATAAGTTCGAATTTTCGAAATTATTTTTATACAATTTATGAATATGTATTTCGAAATAATTTTCAAAAATTTTTAAGTTTGAAAATGTAAGAAATTTAAACAAATCTTATATTATAATTTAATGAATCCTCAAGATTAAGAGAATTTCGAAAATCGAATTTCTGAAAATGTTCAAAAAATTCTTGTTTAATTATAAATTTATGATAAAACTTAAGACTAAGACAGAACATTGAAAATACTATAAAATTCATGAATATTTCGAAACTATTTTCAAAATTTTTAAGTTCGAAATACAAAAATGTAAAAGATTAGTTTCAAATAAATTTAAATTTAATTTTTATAAATTCCCATGAGGAGATTATTTTAAATGTTTAAAAATTTTTTTCGAACATAACTTTGAATTTTAAAAAATTTGAAAAAAAATATAATTTAATTATAAATCTAGAATTAAACTCAAGACGAAGCAAGAACACGGAAAACACTAAAAAAATTCATGAATATTTCGAAATTATTTTCAAAATTTTTAAGTTCGAAATACAAAAATGTAAGGAAGTGGTCTCAAATAAAACTAAAATTATATATTTTTCAAACATAAGTTCGAATTTTTTTCAAATCCTTATTCTGAAAGTACATTGGAAAATGTATAAAATGCTTAAATATTTCAAAAATTTTTAAGTTCGAAACTGAAAAAAATAAAAATAGATCTGAACATAAACTAATATTATATTTTTAAGAATCCTTATCATTTAGATATTAATTAAAAACTTTTTTGTCGAACATAAGTTCGAATTTTTGCAATTTTTATGTTATACATATACAGATCTTAAAATTTTTTAAAAATAACCTCGAATTAAATTAAATTTCCAAATTGACTTCAGACTAAGATAATAATTTCACAGTTTCGAACTTTGTTTAAAAATTTTCATATTTTTTCTTTCATTTCAACTTTTTCCTTAAACTTTTCTCAGATTTTTATTTTTAAAACCAAATAATCAAAATTTGGTAATAATCTTTATATTTACAAGTTAAAATACGATAATTATCAGGAATATTCCAAGAACTTATTTTCTTATAGAACTTATCTTATTATTTTATCTTTTTAATACAATATAATCTCAACGTATTTTTAATCTTCATGTTCTGGAAAATTTTAATTCAAAAACTTAAAATACGAAAATATTCACGAATATTCCAAGAACGAGTTTATCGAAACAATTCAATATCTTTCAATTTTTTTTCTAACAAAATAATCTAAATTTGATTATAATCTTTATATTAAAAAAAAATATCATTTAAAAAGTTTATATACGATAATATTCAAGAATATTCCAAGAATTTATTTTCCTATAAAACTTCTCATAATTTATTATCCTTTTAAACCAAAGTAATCAAATCTTATAATCTTCACATTCCTTAACATTTAAACTCAAAATGTTAAAATACTAAAATTTTCACGAATATTCCAAGAACGAGTTTATTGAAACAGAAAGCTAGCATACTTTTGGGCATTGATCAAAATAAGTATTAATTGATTGAAAAAGTAAATCCTTCATAATTTTCTTTATAGGGAAACTAAAATATTTAACTAATATAGTTTTGACCATGTTTGGACAAGTTTTTGGTATAACCTTATTCTGCAAATTGGTTTCAATTAAAAAAATATGATTATTTATTTCAATTTAAATAACAAATTAATAATCAATAATTTGTAAATTTAAATTCTTAAACATTTTTATTCAAAAAGTTAAAATACAAAAGTTTTCACGAATATTCCAAGAACGAATTTATTGAAACAAAACGCTGGCATACTTTTGGTCATTGATAAACAATTTTAGTAATTGATTTCATAATTTTCTTTATAGAAACTAAACTTTTCAACTAATAGAGTTTTGAACATGTTTTTAAAAATTGGTTTCAATTAAAAAACATGATTAATTTTTAGTAAGCTTTCTTAAAAGTAACCCAAGTTTTGCACTTTTTTCACAAAGAAACGTTTCCATATTTTACAAATTTATACTAAAAGTATTGAAAATAAGTACAATTTTTAAAATTTCTTTATAATAAGATAATTTACTTCCACTAAATATTTCTTAATAAAACATTCAAATTAAACTCACATAATTTATCACAAAATTCTTTGGTATTTTTTGTAGGCATTAATTTTTTATATAAAAATAAAATTTAAATTTTATTAAATTTAACTTGTTGTTAACTAATTTTCACTTTTTCTATTAACTAACAAAAATTTGTTTAACAAACTACAATTTTTTTTTTATACTAAACAATAATCTCAGTAGTGTGTTTGGCTAAAATTCCAGTTGACAACTGAATATAAAATCAGGTTGTTAACCAAAAACTAAATAAAACATAAATTTCAAACCCTTAATGAAAACATAACCAAAATCAACATATTCTAAACCTTTTATAAAAAGGAATTTTTTGCTAAAACATAAAAACAAGTCTTTAGCAATTTTGGGTATTTTTAATATAAAACACTACAAGTCTAGTCATAATTATTGACAAAACATTGAAACAATAATCAACAGACAGAGCCACGACGACGCTAATTGCATGTTAATATTATGCAGCAGAAGGAATATAATGGCAGTCTGACGATACAGGTAGGAATTTTGAATTGTGGCGCAATTACTGTTGACTTTTGTGTAAAAATAAAGGAATTTTCTTTCTTATTTTCTTTTATGATGATTGTAAGTGGTATAAAGTAATTTATACTAATAGTATATTTAGCATAAAGGTAGTCAAGTATTTAGTGTAATATTATACAAACTGAAAGAGACGGCTAGTGTTGTTTGTTTGTTTTTCTGAAAATTGTTATGGTTATTTCGCATAATTTTGCTGTTTTCTTGAATATCATAAAGGAATTTTAATTTGAATAATGTTGCTTAATGCTAAAGTATTTACAATAAGTCTAAGATAAAGTATTTCGAAATAGAATTAAAATAAATTTAAAAACGTACAGACTTTTTCTTATTAAAATAAAGGAATAGAATAATTCAAAAGGAGAATAAAAACATCATAAGTTCCAATTTTCGAAAATTGCAAAATGTAAGAAAATCAAATTGAATGATTTAATTCTGACTAGAAAACAAACAAACTACTTGAAAACTTTTTTGAGAACTTTAAAATTTTGCATAATTTTAAAAATTTTCAAGTTCGAAATTTCAAAATATAAGAAAATTTTCCTCAAATTAAACTAAAATTATATTTTTATGCATCCTCATGACATAGCGATTATTTTAACAGTTTAAAAATTTTTCGAACATAAGTTCGAATAAAATATAAACAAATTTTTACTCAAATTAAACTAAAACTATATTTTTATAAATCCCCATGATTTATAGATTGTTTTAACAGTTTAAAAAAAGTTTCGAACATAAGTTCGAATTTTCGCAATTGTAAAATCTAAGAAAATTTTCCTCCAATTAAACTAAAACTTTAGTTTTAGACATCCCCTGGATTTATAGATTGCTTTTAACAGTCTAAAAAATATTTCGAATTTTCGAAATTGTAAAATATAAAAAAATTTTTCTCAAATTAAACTAAAACTATATTTTTATAAATCCTCATGATTTATAGATTGTTTTAACAGTTTAAAAAAAAAATTTCGAACATAAGTTCGAATTTTCGAAATTGGAAAATATAAAAAAATTTTTTCAAATTAAACTAAAACTATATTTTTATAAATCCCCATTATTTATAGATTGTTTTAACAGTTTAAAAAAATTTTCGTACATAAGTTCGAATTTTCGAAATTGGAAAATATAAGAAAATTTTTCTCAAACTAACTAAAACTATATTTTTAGGAATCCCCTGGATTTATAGATTTTTTTAACAGTCTAAAAAATATTTCGAACATGAGTTCGAATTTTCGAAATTGTAAAATATAAAAAAATTTTTCTCAAATTAAATTAAAACTATATTTTTATAAATCCCCATGGTTTATAGATTGTTTTAACAGTTTAAAAAATTTTTCGAACATAAGTTCGAATTTTCGAAATTGGAAAATATAAGAAAATTTTCCTCAAATTAAACTTAAAACTATATTTTTATAAATCCCCATAATTTATAGATTGTTTTAACAGTTTAAAAAATTTTTCGAACATAAGTTCGAATTTTCGAAATTGGAAAATATAATAAATTGGCCTCCATACTAATACTTTTTTTAAATCCTCATGATTTAAAGATTAACTAAAATAACTAAAACTAAAAATTGTTTGATCATGTATGTAAGTTCGAAATTTCGAAATTCCCCTCTCAAGAATACTTCTGATCAAAATTTTTAAATTCGAACTTGTTCTAAACTAAAAAAAAAAAAACAAATAAAATCTCAACTTACCCCTTGATGTTGGATGATTCATTAAAATCGACAAAGGACATTCATCATCATCTAAGATATATTCAGAGCCATCGCTATTAACCTATAAAACGAAAATAACCAAACTTTATTAATAACAATTCTTCCGATCAATAAACAATCTGTTTTACCAACCTGTACTAAACAATAATGCATTGGATCGGCTTTTTCCAAACCGTATTTCGTTAACATTTCCCTAACCACCGCCTGAGCACAATCACGTATCGACAGCAGTAACGTTTTATAAGGCACATCTTGACATAAACTTTCACCGTAAATCTTTAGTGTACCACCCGTATCGGGGTCCACCATCTCGTGAACGAAACTGTTGTAATTTCTTTTCCAACTTCTGTTGACGGCGGCGTCTCATTACTGCCTCCGGGTTGGAAATGGAACGTGTAAAGGAGGTCTCTGGTAGTTCGGTATATAATTTACCCGCTACTTGGGTTTCTGACTCGGTGCCATTCGAACCATTGAGACCGTTGGTATGACTGTTAATGGTGGTATTGGTGCCATCTGTATTTAGCTTGGCCAGTTTGTCCTTCTTTTTCTGTTCTTTTTTCTCACGTTTGGAGAGTTTTCTTTTGAAATTAATGTCGGTCTGTTCGATGGCTAAAATGGAAAATTATGGATTTTTAATCGGAATGGGAAACTAAATGTCAAAATTGTACTTACGGTAGTTTTTTGATCAATATTTTTTAATAGAAATCTGCCTTCCTCTGTCATCTATGTGCCAATTTAATTGTACCAGTAGAGGTTTTTCATCTGGATTTAAGCGTCCTTTCTTCGCCATTAGCATGAACTTCATAGAGGGCATAATTGGGTACGGACAACATACGCATGTCGGGACGGAATTTTTCAATAAGAGTTTCTGTAAAAAGTTTAGATGGAAAAAGTAAGTAAGTAAGTAAGTAAGTAAGTAAGTAAGTAAGTAAGTAAGTAAGTAAGTAAGTAAGTAAGTAAGTAAGTAAGTAAGTAAGTAAGTAAGTAGTAAGTAAGTAAGTAAGTAAGTAAGTAAGTAAGTAAGTAAGTAAGTAAGTAAGTAAGTAAGTAAGTAAGTAAGTAAGTAAGTAAGTAAGTAAGTAAGTAAGTAAGTAAGTAAGTAAGAAGTAAGTAAGTAAGTAAGTAAGTAAGTAAGTAAGTAAGTATAAGTAAGTAAGTAGTAAGTAAAGTAAGTAAAGTAAGTAAGTAAGTAAGTAAGTAAGTAAGTAAGTAAGTAAGTAAGTAAGTAAGTAAGTAAGTAAGTAAGTAAGTAAGTAAGTAAGTAAGTAAGTAAGTAAAGTAAGTAAGTAAGTAAGTAAGTAAGTAAGTAAGTAAGTAAGTAAGTAAGTAAGTAAGTAAGTAAGTAAGTAAGTAAGTAAGTAAGTAAGTAAGTAAGTAAGTAGTAAGTAAGTAAGTAAGTAAGTAAGTAAGTAAGTAAGTAAGTAAGTAAGTAAGTAAGTAAGTAAGTAAGTAAGTAAGTAAGTAAGTAAGTAAGTAAGTAAGAGTAAGTAAGTAAGTAAGTAAGTAAGTAAGTAAGTAAGTAAGTAAGTAAGTAAGTAAGTAAGTAAGTAAGTAAGTAAGTAAGTAAGTAAGTAAGTAAGTAAGTAAGTAAGTAAGTAAGTAAGTAAGTAAGTAAGTAAGTAAGTAAAAGTAAGTAAGTAAGTAAGTAAGTAAGTAAGTAAGTAAGTAAGAAGTAAGTAAGTAAGTAAGTAAGTAAGTAAGTAAGTAAAGTAAGTAAGTAAGTAAGTAAGTAAGTAAGTAAGTAAGTAAGTAAGTAAGTAAGTAAGTAAGTAAGTAGTAAGTAAGTAAGTAAGTAAGTAAGTAAGTAAAGTAAGTAAGTAAGTAAGTAGTAAGTAAGTAAGTAAGTAAGTAAGTAGTAAGTAAGTAAGTAAGTAAGTAAGTAAGTAAGTAAGTAAGTAAGAAGTAAGTAAGTAAGTAAGTAAGTAAGTAAGTAAGTAAGTAAGTAAGTAAGTAAGTAGTAAGTAAGTAAGTAAGTAAGTAGTAGTAAGTAAGTAAGTAAGTAAGTAAGAAGTAAGTAAGTAAGTAAGTAAGTAAGTAAGTAAGTAAGTAAGTAAGTAAGTAAGTAAGTAAGTAAGTAAGTACTAGTAGTTAATTAGTTGGTTAGTTAGTTAGTTAGTTAGTTAGTAGTAGTTAGTAGTTAGTTAGTTAGTTAGTTAGTTAGTAGTTAGTTAGTTAGTTAGTTAGTTAGTTAGTTAGTTAGTAGTTAGTTAGTTAGTTAGTTGTAGTTAGTTAGTTAGTTAGTTAGTTAGTTAGTTAAGTTAGTTAGTTAGTTAGTTAGTAGTTAGTTAGTTAGTTAGTTAGTTAGTTAGTTAGTTTCATCCATCCAGATTCTTGAATAGCATCCTTGGAACTGGTGAATATATGATTATTTCTAGAGCTGGTCCTAAAACATTGCTCTGATTCT